CAAACATATTCATGAATAAATAAAAATAACTGATAAATAACACAACGAAGCAATAACAATAGAAAACAAAACAAGAACCCAGACAACAAAATAAATAAATAAATAAATAAAAATAAAAATAAAAACAACCACAGGAATACCTTTTAAAAGAACCATCCATTTCCCAACACTTCCCCCTTCCCTTCCCTTCCCTTCCCTCCCCCCTACCTCTAAAAAAAATAAAAAATAAAAAAAATAAATAAACAGAATAAAAACTTCTTTCCTAGACCACACTTTGTTCATACTAACTTCGACTTTCACGCTCACTAACTTCGTATTCACAGCGTCAAACTACCTGCGCCGCTTCTCACCTGCTGCTGGTTCGTGGGCTGCAGGCGACGCAGAAGGGGCGAGCTGTGGGGATGGTGTACTGTGTTGTGTTGTGGTGTGGTATGATGTGTTGTGATGTGTGGTATGATGTGGTGTTATGTGGTGTGGTGTGTTGTGTTTGGTGTTGTACTGTGTAGTGTGATGTGGTGTGGTGTGTTGTGTTGTTATGTGGTGTGTTGTGTTGTGATGTGGTATGTGGTGTGTTGTGTTGTGATGTGGTATGTGGTGTGTTGTGTTGTGTTGTGATGTGGTATGTGGTGTGATGTGGTGTGGTGTGTTGCGTGGTGCTGTGTTGTTTAATGTGGTATTTCGTTATGTGGTGTGTGTGTGTGTTATGCGATGTGGTAGTGTGTGGTGTATCCTGTTTGCGTCATATAGCTCACGCCCACACATACAGTCATGCCCATACATATAGTCTCGCGCCCATATGTATAGCCTCGCCCCCATACATATAGCTCACGCCCACACATACAGTCATGCCCATACATATAGTCTCGCGCCCATATGTATAGCCTCGCCCCCATACATATAGCTCACGCCCACACATACAGTCATGCCCATACATATAGTCTCGCGCCCATATGTATAGCCTCGCCCCCATACATATAGCTCACGCCCACACATACAGTCATGCCCATACATATAGCTCACGCCCACACATACAGTCATGCCCATACATATAGTCTCGCGCCCATATGTATAGCCTCGCCCCCATACATATAGCTCACGCCCACACATACAGTCATGCCCATACATATAGCTCACGCCCACACATACAGTCATGCCCATACATATAGCTCACGCCCACACATACAGTCATGCCCATACATATAGTCTCGCGCCCATATGTATAGCCTCGCCCCCATACATATAGCTCACGCCCACACATACAGTCATGCCCATACATATAGCTCACGCCCACACATACAGTCATGCCCATACATATAGCTCACGCCCACACATACAGTCATGCCCATACATATAGCTCACGCCCACACATACAGTCATGCCCATACATATAGTCTCGCGCCCATATGTATAGCCTCGCCCCCATACATATAGCTCACGCCCACACATACAGTCATGCCCATACATATAGTCTCGCGCCCATATGTATAGCCTCGCCCCCATACATATAGCTCACGCCCACACATACAGTCATGCCCATACATATAGTCTCGCGCCCATATGTATAGCCTCGCCCCCATACATATAGCTCACGCCCACACATACAGTCATGCCCATACATATAGTCTCGCGCCCATATGTATAGCCTCGCCCCCATACATATAGCTCACGCCCACACATACAGTCATGCCCATACATATAGTCTCGCGCCCATATGTATAGCCTCGCCCCCATACATATAGCTCACGCCCACACATACAGTCATGCCCATACATATAGTCTCGCGCCCATATGTATAGCCTCGCCCCCATACATATAGCTCACGCCCACACATACAGTCATGCCCATACATATAGTCTCGCGCCCATATGTATAGCCTCGCCCCCATACATATAGCTCACGCCCACACATACAGTCATGCCCATACATATAGTCTCGCGCCCATATGTATAGCCTCGCCCCCATACATATAGCTCACGCCCACACATACAGTCATGCCCATACATATAGTCTCGCGCCCATATGTATAGCCTCGCCCCCATACATATAGCTCACGCCCACACATACAGTCATGCCCATACATATAGTCTCGCGCCCATATGTATAGCCTCGCCCCCATACATATAGCTCACGCCCACACATACAGTCATGCCCATACATATAGTCTCGCGCCCATATGTATAGCCTCGCCCCCATACATATAGCTCACGCCCACACATACAGTCATGCCCATACATATAGTCTCGCGCCCATATGTATAGCCTCGCCCCCATACATATAGCTCACGCCCACACATACAGTCATGCCCATACATATAGTCTCGCGCCCATATGTATAGCCTCGCCCCCATACATATAGCTCACGCCCACACATACAGTCATGCCCATACATATAGTCTCGCGCCCATATGTATAGCCTCGCCCCCATACATATAGCTCACGCCCACACATACAGTCATGCCCATACATATAGCTCACGCCCACACATACAGTCATGCCCATACATATAGTCTCGCGCCCATATGTATAAGCCTCGCCCCATACATATAGCTCACGCCCACACATACAGTCATGCCCATACATATAGTCTCGCGCCCATATGTATAGCCTCGCCCCCATACATATAGCTCACGCCCACACATACAGTCATGCCCATACATATAGCTCACGCCCACACATACAGTCATGCCCATACATATAGTCTCGCGCCCATATGTATAGCCTCGCCCCCATACATATAGCTCACGCCCACACATACAGTCATGCCCATACATATAGCTCACGCCCACACATACAGTCATGCCCATACATATAGCTCACGCCCACACATACAGTCATGCCCATACATATAGTCTCGCGCCCATATGTATAGCCTCGCCCCCATACATATAGCTCACGCCCACACATACAGTCATGCCCATACATATAGTCTCGCGCCCATATGTATAGCCTCGCCCCCATACATATAGCTCACGCCCACACATACAGTCATGCCCATACATATAGTCTCGCGCCCATATGTATAGCCTCGCCCCCATACATATAGCTCACGCCCACACATACAGTCATGCCCATACATATAGTCTCGCGCCCATATGTATAGCCTCGCCCCCATACATATAGCTCACGCCCACACATACAGTCATGCCCATACATATAGTCTCGCGCCCATATGTATAGCCTCGCCCCCATACATATAGCTCACGCCCACACATACAGTCATGCCCATACATATAGCTCACGCCCACACATACAGTCATGCCCATACATATAGTCTCGCGCCCATATGTATAGCCTCGCCCCCATACATATAGCTCACGCCCACACATACAGTCATGCCCATACATATAGCTCACGCCCACACATACAGTCATGCCCATACATATAGCTCACGCCCACACATACAGTCATGCCCATACATATAGTCTCGCGCCCATATGTATAGCCTCGCCCCCATACATATAGCTCACGCCCACACATACAGTCATGCCCATACATATAGTCTCGCGCCCATATGTATAGCCTCGCCCCCATACATATAGCTCACGCCCACACATACAGTCATGCCCATACATATAGTCTCGCGCCCATATGTATAGCCTCGCCCCCATACATATAGCTCACGCCCACACATACAGTCATGCCCATACATATAGTCTCGCGCCCATATGTATAGCCTCGCCCCCATACATATAGCTCACGCCCACACATACAGTCATGCCCATACATATAGTCTCGCGCCCATATGTATAGCCTCGCCCCCATACATATAGCTCACGCCCACACATACAGTCATGCCCATACATATAGTCTCGCGCCCATATGTATAGCCTCGCCCCCATACATATAGCTCACGCCCACACATACAGTCATGCCCATACATATAGTCTCACGCCCACCTTGTCAATCAACCGAACTTTCATGCACACAACCGCAAAATGGATAAATATGTATTAAAACAAACCAGTGTAAAGTTATTATCCGTAATCAAAGACAAAAAAATCACAATGCACCTTAAACATTGAATTGAAAGTCAAAAGCACCATCTCTTTTGCAACAATATGACAATGGCGGTTCTATTGTCCAACTGCCTTTTTGTGCAATAAACTATTCAAGTTCTGTGTGTGTGTGATGGGTGTGTGTGTGTGGGGGGGGTGTAGGGGGGATGGGTATATGTGTGTGTGTGTGTGTGTGTGTGTGTGTGTGTGTGTGTGTGTGTGTGTGTGTGTGTGTGTGAAGGTGTGGGTATGCGTGTGTGTGGGAGGGGTGCAAGGGAAAGGGAAAGAGAAAGAGAGAGAGAGAGAGAGAGAGAGAGAGAGAGAGAGAGAGAGAGAGAGAGAGAGAGAGAGAGAGAGAGAGAGAGAGAGAGAGAGAGAGAGAGAGAGACAGACAGACAGACAGACAGAGACAGAGAATGAATGAATGAGTGCGTGAATTTAACTTGAAAAGAATACATTTCTGGCCTGCCCTATTTAACCTATTACGTTTATAGTCTCTTTTTCATGAACCATTTTTTCCCAGGACTTTTTTTCGACTATTGTGGTGAATCAAATCATACCTAAATAAAACAACTTTATATCGATTGCATTAAAATCTATTGCATCACTCAATTGCAACTTACGATTCCTGTTCTGCATATTTGCAACAATAGAATTTGTGACAATAAAAAATAAATACGGATGACGCGAAAAAGAGCTCGATATGGATAAAACGCCTACAAATAAAGGTAAATAAAGAAATAAAACATATGTAAAAATCAATATACAGATGAACTAATGGACCAAAAAAAAACGAAATTTTCGAGTCATTTACCCCAATCAATTGTAAAAAAAAAATGTGAAAAAGGAAAAAAAAAACAAGGAATAAGAAAACGGACGAAAATAAATAAAAATGGGAACGTTTAGGGAGGAAAAAAATAATTAAATAAAAGCTTGATTCCTGAAACCAGTAAACACACTTGGGAAAAAAAGAAAAAAAAACTAAAAGGAAAAAAATTCAACTTACCTTAAGTGGACGGACGATAGCGATTGTTTCGATAGTAGCCGTTGGAGCCATTTTGTCTTTCACTTCGTTTTATCCTCTGCACGATGACGTCACGGAGGATGATGACGTCACGAGTGGAGATGACGTCACGAAAGCAGATGACGTCACGAGTAGATATGACGGAACGAGTCAGGACATCACGTGACACGAGGCAGTACCGGAAACACAGAATACATGTCACGGTGCCATTCAGGAGTGCCAAAGGAGATGTGACGTAGACGTTTGTGATGATGCAAGGACGTAGCGTGAAAAAAAGAAGAAAACAGATTGTTAATAATGATTGGATAATCAATATTGGACATTTTTTTTCTATTAGAAGATAAATTTGTAAGGATTACGTCGTTTATAAGTTGTGTGTGTGTGTGTGTGTGTGTGTGTGTGTGTGTGTGTGTGTGTGTGTGTGTGTGTGTGTGTGTGTATGTGTGTGTGTGTATGTGTGTATGTATGTGTGTATGTATGTGTGTATGTATGTGTGTATGTATGTGTGCATGTATGTGTGCATGTATGTGTGCATGTATGTGTGTATGTATGTATGTGTGCATGTATGTGTGCATGTATGTGTGCATGTATGTGTGCATGTATGTGTGCATGTATGTGTGCATGTAAGTGTGCATGTATGTGTGTATGTATATGTGTATGTATATGTGTATGTGCGCGTATGTATGCATATGTGTGCATGTGTGTGTGCGTGTGCGTAAGCCTGCGATATATTAACATTAGATACCACAGAACACGCTTTCCTCCAGCATATTCATATTACAACGAACATACAAAAAAAAAAATCATGACATGGGCATAGGCCAATATTCATGAAATTCCTAATCTATACAAACACATCCAAATGATATATATAGGCCTACTTACTGGAAAAAAAACAACAGGAAAAAAAAAACAAGCGAAATTATGATATTTTTTCTATTTAGCAAAAAGCCTGTAGCCATGAAAAATAATCACATGTATTCAGAAAACATTTTACGCACGAAATCACTTATCCCAATAATTGGATTATTATTATTGTTATTAACAGGTTGTAACCTCAACAAAATAACATCATCAATAAGAATAATAATTGCTAAATTATAAAATAATAATAATAATAATGATAATACTAATGCTAATACTAATAATAACAACAGCAAGAATAACAAGAATAATAAAAACAATAACGACAACAATAACAATGATAATAATAATAAAACAATAACAACAACATCAGTAATAATGAGCGTAATGAATAATGAACAATAATAATGCTCGTACCAACAACAGCAACTATAATAACAAGGATAATAAAAATAGTGATATTAATAATGATTAAGATCGTCTTAAAACTAACAATAACAACAAAAATAACCCGAATAATAATAATAATAATAATAATAATAATAATAATAATAATAAAAATCATGATGATAATAACAATAATAATAATGTTAATAATAATAATAATAATAATAATAATAATAATAATAATAATAATAATAACAATAATAATAATAATAATAACAATTACAATATGAATAATATTAATAGTAATAGTAATAATAATAATAATAATAATAATAATAATAATGTACCTAGATAAAACAACGTGTATTGATTATAATAACTTGATTAAAAAAATAATAATCTACACGGTGTATCTACTCAAACAAATTAACTACAATTACAAAGCAATACCCCCCCCCTCCGATATGTTTTGCTAAACCTAGCTACTGTGTATTAATTGCCTGTATGTGCATTCCTGTGAGGTTTGGAAAATTCTGTTTTGAAATGCTGTCTTCTATTTTGTTGTTATCTGCCTTTTAAGTGTGCGTGTATATGTGTGTATATATATATACATACACATGTGTGAGTGTATGTGTGTGTGAGTGTATGTGTGTGTGTGTGTATGTGTGTGTGTGTGTGTGTGTGTGTGTGTGTGTGTGTGTGTGTGTGTGTGTGTGTGTGTGTGTGTGTGTGTGTGTGTGTGTGTGTGTGTGTGTGTGTGTGCGTTCGTGCGAGCGCGTGTGCGTGCGTTTATGTGTGTTCATAAAACTGAAAGTCTTATGAAATATTCAAAAAAGCAAAAAAAAACTACAATTACAAAGCAATAGCACCCCCCCCCTCCGATATGTTTGCTAAACCTAGCTACTGTGTATTAATTGCCTGTATGTGCATTCCTGTGAGGTTTGGAAAATTCTGTTTTGAAATGCTGTCTTCTATTTTGTTGTTGTTGTTGTTATCTGCCTTTTAAGTGTGCGTGTATGTGTGTATATATATATACATACACATGTGTGAGTGTGTGTGTGTGTATGTGTGTATGTGTGTGTGTGTATGTGTGTGTGTGTGTGTGTGTGTGTGTGTGTGTGTGTGTGTGTGTGTGTGTGTGTGTGTGTGTGTGTGTGTGTGTGTGTGGCTTGTGTGTGTGTGTGCGTTCGTGCGAGCGCGTGTGCGTGCGTTTATGTGTGTTCATAAAACTGAAAGTCTTATGAAATATTCAAAAAAGCAAAAAAAAACGAACTTATTTATTCCAATTCCATTGCAAATTGTCATGACGGTTAAAACACAAATACTCTGGCTGCTGAATCGCTGCACGATATATGTTTCGGCCAAATTTTGGGATTGACTGCGTATACATACATACATACATATACATGTGTATTCCCTTTTTTCAATTCTTTCTTTTTAACCAAATACATAAAAAAAAATATTGACAGACACCACTAACAAACAAACAGGATCCCTTACCACTAAACAAACAGACAGACAATCATACTAAACAAAGACCTAACCGCTGCAAACGAAAAACAGGCAAACCATCCATCCACACTTGCCTGGTTTTGTCACTCCATCAACTAATCCACTCAATCTTACAACGTTCCGCTCGTGTACTTTATCAGCACGCTAATCGAATGGAACGTACAGTACCTGTGTCACGCATTCGGAGGAATTCTTGGAAGAGCAAAACTATTGACGACGGAAGTTACGAACGTCTGCTGATTCTTGGGGTTTGTAAGTATTGTACGCATGTGTAGGCGCATATGTGTATACGTGTGTGTGTGTGTGTGTGTGTGTGTGTGTGTGTGTGTGTGTGTGTGTGTGTGTGTGTGTGTGTGTGTGTGTGTGTGTGTATACATATATATATATATATATATATATATATATATAAAATCTGATACAGACATACATATATACATACACACATTATATATACATATACATATATACATATATAACATACATACACACACACATATATATATATTAAATATATATATATACATATATAATACACACACACACACACACACACACACACACACACACACACACACACACACACACACAAACACAAACACAAACAAATAAACAAATAAACACGCACACATACACATATGTGTGTGTATATATACATATATACATATATATATATACATATACATATTTATACACACACACACACACACACACACACACACACACACACACACACACACATATATATATATATATATATATATATATATATATATATATATATATATAATATATATGTGTGTGTGTGTGTGTATATTCTTTACAACTCAAAAAGCTCCAAAGCACGAAATCTACAACCAACAATCACGAAAAAGAACCTCACGCGACAAAACCCATCGAAAACCCAAACCGGAAAGAGAAAAGAACAGCAGTAACATGACAAAAGTAATCGCGCACACGTTTGCGCCATCCGGCTGGATTCTCTCTATATTTATAGTCTGAGGGAGGGGGGGAAGGGGGCATTTCTGGCTGGCCTGGGCATTCGCATAGCTAGCCATGAGGAAGGTAACGGCTCTGGCATGAAGGGGGGGGGGGGGGGGGGCATCGGCGCATAACTCGAGGTCAGGTCACATTCCTCCCGTCTCGAGTTACGTGCGTGTGTGAGTCTTGACATTAACCTAAGCTGACCTGATGGGGCATGGGCTAAGTTTAGGTAGGCCTACATAATGAGCGAGAGATATATTTGGAACGAAATGGTGGAAGGAAGGAAATAAGGAGATATCCCATTACTGAGAATGGGGTATAGACAGGTATGGGGTACTGACATATATGGGGTATGGGGTATAAACATATATAAAAAGGATTATATACAAAATAGAATGAAGGACATATGGAAATACTACACTATATTAATGCCAATAGAGCCCAGGGTTACTTTGTTAATCTAATAAACGTTTCAACTGATTTGAAAAACAATGTAGGGGTTAATGTCAACGGATTAAAATGGTGTATAAAAAAAAACACCGGTATTATTCACCATTAAATTATGTAATTACCTACAGAATCTGTTTAAAAATGTATCTTATGAAATATATCTGTCTGAATGTGAAACAATAACTTGACTATCTAATTAATAATAATATTTAATAATACCAACAACATCCAACAACTATAATCATACCAGCAACAACAAAAAAAAAGCGGTAACAAAACTACAACAATAACAACAATGATAATAAATAATCATAACACTAAAGCACCAATAAAAAAAAACACGTATGCTTAGCGAAATAAATCCACAGACACTTCCAAGCAACACCTCATTACTATATCCATAATTACGAGAGATGATAATAGCAAAGATAAGAGTCAATGAATGATAAAGGACAATGTTTACTTACTCCGGTTAGAAGCAGGGACGGAAAGCAGTTAATCAGCGGGCTTCATGTGCCTGCTGGAGAG